GTGCGGTGCGGTGCGGGGACCCGCGGGAAGGGCTGCGGGGCCGCAGGACGGCCGCAGCGTTTATGTCACCAGGAAACGACCGGCCCCGCACCGAAGAGCCACGTCCCGGCTTCTCCGTGTAGAGCCTTGGGGCTGCGCGGCTGCGGCCTGACTACAGCCTTCAGCCTGAGAAATCCAAAAGGTTACGCTGGGGTAAGCCTGGTTCTAAGTGCCGAGGATAAAACTGGGAAATAAAACCGAGTGAACAAGGACATGGTTTGCTATATGTTGTTTTGGTATAGCACCACTCTGTAATTCTGCACAGTACTTAGAGACAAAACATTTCCCCACAAGAACTTATTGCAATAAAGGCCCCTTTCTGAAACCCTTATGATGCATTTTGAACTTAAGACTATTTCACTGTATCTCGGTGGACTGTTTCAGCTATTAAAGTGAAATTAACATTCATGTTTTCAGGATTAGAATCTGAAGTATTTCAATTTATCATGTAATTCATTCTTCAGTCAGGGAAGAGCTTTAAATACTATCTGAACCCAAACTGCTAAACGCAGGTTGGATCTTTGAGTCACTGCTTCCTTTGTGGCATCCTTGGTTTAGTCTGTATGATTAATCTGAACCATACTCCACGGTATTGCTTTGGTGTCTTCTTAAAAATTTGGATGGACAAAATGTAAGTCTGCACTTGGGCCAGTTGTTCCCATCACTGAAGGTCCTGAGTCAGACGTGCTGGCACAAACACATAGTGGGAGTACTGCTCTGCCTCAGTGGGTTTGGCTCAGGTTTTAATGTGCCTTAAGCTATGAAATATTTTGTTTATGAAATATGTTTACACACATCACTAACCAAATCTCTAGTTCTCTGCTAATGGAACAGCATTTTGTAGTAAGTGCTAGGTAGGGCATCACTTAGCTATTGATTTCCATGGGAGCAGACAGGCAAGTCCAAAATACACATTCTAGGAGAGAGTACATCCAGGGACTGCGGGTCTGATTTTGTATTTGTGTTCATAGGACTTGCTTGCCTCCCTGGGGAGGAACAAGGTCAGGACCAGTATAAGCAAAGAACTATAGTGTGCCACAGCTAACCTAAATGATGTTTGAAAGAGATATTTCACTATGTCTCATGACCCCTGTCAAGAGTAAGTGAACTTGATTTTATAGAGGAGGACTCTAGATCTGGTTTGTTGCTTTACCAGTGGTCACTGCACAGAATTGGCCTTTGGCCTTGTCACCTTTTAGCTCATTTCTTTGAAGAGTCCTACTATCATTGTCATCTAGTCTGCTACAAATATGTTAATAATGTTGAGAGAATTAGTGTAGATGAAGACTGATGTAATTCCAAACTGTTTTGATTAGATCTTTGTTGCAGGATGAGGTTGTGAGACAAGACACACACCAATACGGTTAACAGTCAAGCTCCGAAGTTTATTAGAAAAACAAGTCTATATATTCTTGCACATTCTAAAAATAACACCAAATCCGTGTGTTGCTCTAGCACATGCTCATTTCAAAAACTAGTTCCTCTCAGCACTTTCGATAAGGACTACTAACTGCACACCCCCAGTAGATAAGTTTCTGCTTTGTTATTTTAAGGAATCCTTTCTTATCTGTTTCTTCCCTAACAAGCACAAATTCTTTTGCTTTTAGCCATCGTGCGTTAGTCTTCTAACACAAGTGCATCATTAATTTAGATGTTGTTAATCTTCTAACCCAAATGCTGATGATACTTTTACATTGTCAGTGACGCAGAAGGTTCACAACCAGGCATACGCACCCACAGTTCCCACCTTTTCTTTTTATTAAGGTCTCTAGGCTATTTACTACACAAGATAGACAACATTTCAACAGAAGAAAAAGACAGCATTCCAATAATCCCACTATGCATAGTCTTGCAATTACTCATACCGCCTAAATATAAATTGAGAGTGATTAGAAAGATTTATACAGCATAAACTTAATAAAGCACTAACACTCAGATCCACAATCGCTGGGGAACCCTGGGTGCAGCAAGAATTTAGAGTACCCTTCCTTGCAAATCGGAAATCCTACGTGATGTGTCCATCCGTAGGTGAGGCATCCAAAGTCACTGCAAACAGGTCCAGCCTCTAAATCAACAGGTCAAAATAACTGGCAATTTTCTTTGAGCAGGAACATCTGACTTCATCCTCCTGTTGGGTTCCACCCAGAGCCTGGCCAGCACTCAGGGGGGAAAACCAAGGGAGTTTCTAATAAGGTTAAACACTGGAGTTCTTAATATTGCTAAGCAAAGGAATATATATTCTTATAACATTTCATCCTTATTGATAACTACATTCTGTCTAACCTACAGATCGTCATTGAAATTTCCAGGCCAATGTTTTGTTTTGTTAGTTTTTTTTTTTTAATATAGCAATGTTCTATAATGCTTAACTACTAGCAGAGATTAAGCAGCATTTTTAACTGTGGGAGAACTTTAAACGAATAATGTGGAAATGTCCCTTAGATGGGAACCCATATCCCATACCTTCCGATACCCAGTTAGGATTATAATCCCATGAACCTCAACTGGGCGGTACCGGAGAGCTCCGAGCCCGACTCTCGCCTTCTGTGCCTTTTCACGGGTTTTCATGCATAATCACTTGCATTTAGAATTCAGAAAAGCACAACCGTAACAGTGTCTTCTTACTACCGGGGAGCGGACAGACACGCGGTTGCGAGACCCCTCCGGCGCCTCCCCCCCTGCCCCGGCCGCCTACCTGAGGCCGCCTCGCCGGGCAGCAGGTGCCGAGCGTCGCTCCCGGGGCGGGCAGCGAGGAGGGCACAGCGGCCCTGCGGCGCCACACGGCCACTCGCCTCCCC